GGTTTGTTTTATTTCTCAAAAAAAAATTATTTAATTTCTGTTCGCTGTCGTCTATCTTTATCAACTATATTATGGAAATTATACAAAAAAAATGAAATTGAATTAAAGAGGAAAATAATAATACAAAACGTATAAATTTATAGCTCTAAATAAAGATATAAAATCATGTTTAATTACAAACGAATTTCATTTCAGTTTACTTTTTTTCTTGTAATTATAAATGACTCATTATTAGTAGTTAAATGGTCTTTTGTATGTCTTTTTTTTGCGTATTTAACGTTCAAAATAAAGTTCATGAAGTTTAATTAGCAAAAATTTATGAATTTTTAAGCATTCAAATGGAAATTTGCTGATAATAATTATAATAAAAAAAATGTTGTTGTTTGTTGGGTTTCTTCTATGTTCATTCATTGAAAATTGCATTGAAAAGTATTATGGGTCAAATTATCAATAAGCTTAAATTGGCGTCATACAGCAGTAATTAGTAGAGAATGTATGAAATGGTTATAGAAATATAATTTCGTTGGTTTTAGAGGTAAAATATTTTGTTTAGAAATAAGTAAAGGAAAAAGAAAGTTTATAGTCTAGTCTATAGTCTAGTCTATAGTCTAGTCTATAGTCTAGTCTATAGTCTAGTCTATAGTCTAGTCTATAGTCTAGTCTATAGTCTAGTCTATAGTCTAGTCTATAGTCTAGTCTATAGTCTACTATAGTCTAGTCTATAGTCTAGTCTATAGTCTAGTCTATAGCCTAGTCTATAGTCTAGTCTATAGTCTAGTCTCTAGTCTAGTCTATAGTCTAGCCTATAGTCCAGTCTATAGTCTAGTCTATAGTCTAGTCTATAGTCTAGTCTATAGTCTAGTCTATAGTCTAGTCTATAGTCTAGTCTATAGTCTAGTCTATAGACTAGTCTATAGTCTAGTCTATAGTCTAGTCCATAGTCTAGTCTATAGTCTAGTCTATAGTCTAGTCCATAGTCTAGTCCATAGTCTAGTCTATAGTCTAGTCCATAGTCTAGTCCATAGTCTAGTCTATAGTCTAGTCTATAGTCTAGCCTTGTCTATATTCTAGTCTATAGTCTAGTCTATAGTCTAGTCTATAGTCTAGTCTATAGTCTAGTCTATAGTCTAGTCTATAGTCTAGTCTATAGTCTAGTCTATAGTCTAGTCTATAGTCTAGTCTATAGTCTAGTCTATAGTCTAGTCTAGTCTATAGTCTAGTCTATAGTCTAGTCTATAGTCTAGTCTATAGTCTAGTCTATAGTCTAGTCTATAGTCTAGTCTATAGTCCTAGTCTATAGTCTAGTCTTAGTCTAGTCTATAGTCTAGTCTATAGTCTAGTCTATAGTCTAGTCTATAGTCTAGTCTATAGTCTAGTCTATAGTCTAGTCTATAGTCTAGTCTATAGTCTAGTCTATAGTCTAGTCTATAGTCTAGTCTATAGTCTAGTCTATAGTCTAGTCTATAGTCTAGTCTATAGTCTAGTCTATAGTCTAGTCTATAGTCTAGTCTATAGTCTAGTCTATAGTCTAGTCTATAGTCTAGTCTATAGTCTAGTCTATAGTCTAGTCTATAGTCTAGTCTATAGTCTAGTCTATAGTCTAGTCTATAGTCTAGTCTATAGTCTAGTCTATAGTCTAGTCTATAATCTAGTCTATAGTCTAGTCTATAGTCTAGTCTATAGTCTAGTCTATAGTCTAGTCTATAGTCTAGTCTATAGTCTAGTCTATAGTCTAGTCTATAGTCTAGTTATAGTCTAGTCTATAGTCTAGTCTATAGTCTAGTCTATAGTCTAGTCTATAGTCTAGTCTATAGTCTAGTCTATAGTCTAGTCTATAGTCTAGTCTATAGTCTAGTCTATAGTCTAGTCTATAGTCTAGTCTATAGTCTAGTCTATAGTCTAGTCTATAGTCTAGTCTTTAGTCTAGTCTTTAGTCTAGTCTATAGTCTAGTCTATAGTCTAGTCTATAGTCTAGTCTATAGTCTAGTCTATAGTCTAGTCTATAGTCTAGTCTATAGTCTAGTCTATAGTCTAGTCTATAGTCTAGTCTATAGTCTAGTCTATACTCTAGTCTATACTCTAGTCTATAGTCTAGTCTATAGTCTAGTCTATACTCTAGTCTATAGTCTAGTCTATAGTCTAGTCTATAGTCTAGTCTATAGTCTAGTCTATAGTCTAGTCTATAGTCTAGTCTATAGTCTAGTCTATAGTCTAGTCTTTAGTCTAGTCTTTAGTCTAGTCTATAGTCTAGTCTATAGTCTAGTCTTTAGTCTAGTCTATAGTCTAGTCTATAGTCTAGTCTATAGTCTAGTCTATAGTCTAGTCTATAGTCTAGTCTATAGTCTAGTCTATAGTCTAGTCTATAGTCTAGTCTATAGTCTAGTCTATAGTCTAGTCTATAGTCTAGTCTATAGTCTAGTCTATAGTCCTAGTCTATAGTCTATAGTCTAGTCTATAGTCTAGTCTATAGTCTAGTCTATAGTCTAGTCTTTAGTCTAGTCTATAGTCTAGTCTATAGTCTAGTCTATAGTCTAGTCTATAGTCTAGTCTATAGTCTAGTCTATAGTCTAGTCTATAGTCTAGTCTATAGTCTAGTCTATAGTCTAGTCTATAGTCTAGTCTATAGTCTAGTATTAGTCTAGTCTATAGTCCTAGTCTATAGTCTAGTCTATAGTCTAGTCTATAGTCTAGTCTATAGTCTAGTCTATAGTCAGTCTATAGTCTAGTCTATAGTCTAGTCTATAGTCCTAGTCTATAGTCTAGTCTATAGTCTAGTCTATAGTCTAGTCTATAGTCTAGTCTATAGTCTAGTCTATAGTCTAGTCTATAGTCTAGTCTATAGTCTAGTCTATAGTCTAGTCTATAGTCTAGTCTATAGTCTAGTCTAGTCTATAGTCTAGTCTATAGTCTAGTCTATAGTCTAGTCTATAGTCTAGTCTATAGTCTAGTCTATAGTCTAGTCTAGTCTATAGTCTAGTCTATAGTCTAGTCTAGTCTATAGTCTAGTCTAGTAGTCTATAGTCTAGTCTATAGTCTAGTCTATAGTCTAGTCTATAGTCTAGTCTATAGTCTAGTCTATAGTCTAGTCTATAGTCTAGTCTATAGTCTAGTCTATAGTCTAGTCTATAGTCTAGTCTATAGTCTAGTCTATAGTCTAGTCTATAGTCTAGTCTATAGTCTAGTCTATAGTCTAGTCTATAGTCTAGTCTATAGTCTAGTCTATAGTCTAGTCTATAGTCTAGTCTATAGTCTAGTCTATAGTCTAGTCTATAGTCTAGTCTATAGTCTAGTCTATAGTCTAGTCTAGTCTAGTCTATAGTCTAGTCTATAGTCTAGTCTATAGTCTAGTCCTATAGTCTAGTCTATAGTCTAGTCTATAGTCTAGTCTATAGTCTAGTCTATAGTCTAGTCTATAGTCTAGTCTATAGTCTAGTCTATAGTCTAGTCTATAGTCCTAGTCTATAGTCTAGTCTATAGTCTAGTCTATAGTCTTAGTCTATAGTCTAGTCCTATAGTCTAGTCTATAGTCTAGTCTATAGTCTAGTCTATAGTCTAGTCTATAGTCTAGTCTATAGTCTAGTCTATAGTCTAGTCTATAGTCTAGTCTATAGTCTAGTCTATAGTCTAGTCTATAGTCTAGTCTATAGTCTAGTCTATAGTCTAGTCTATAGTCTAGTCTATAGTCTAGTCTATAGTCTAGTCTATAGTCTAGTCTATAGTCTAGTCCTATAGTCTAGTCTATAGTCTAGTCTATAGTCTAGTCTATAGTCTAGTCTATAGTCTAGTCTATAGTCTAGTCTATAGTCTAGTCTATAGTCTAGTCTATAGTCTAGTCTATAGTCTAGTCTATAGTCTAGTCTATAGTCTAGTCTATAGTCTAGTCTATAGTCTAGTCTATAGTCTAGTCTATAGTCTAGTCTATAGTCTAGTCTATAGTCTAGTCTATAGTCTAGTCTATAGTCTAGTCTATAGTCTAGTCTATAGTCTAGTCTATAGTCTAGTCTATAGTCTAGTCTATAGTCTAGTCTATAGTCTAGTCTATAGTCTAGTCTATAGTCTAGTCTATAGTCTAGTCTATAGTCTAGTCTATAGTCTAGTCTATAGTCTAGTCTATAGTCTAGTCTATAGTCTAGTCTATAGTCTAGTCTATAGTCTAGTCTATAGTCTAGTCTATAGTCTAGTCTGTAGTCTAGTCTATAGTCTAGTCTATAGTCTAGTCTATAGTCTAGTCTATAGTCTAGTCTATAGTCTAGTCTATAGTCTAGTCTATAGTCTAGTCTATAGTCTAGTCTATAGTCTAGTCTATAGTCTAGTCTATAGTCTAGTCTATAGTCTAATCTATAGTCTAGTCTATAGTCTAGTCTATAGTCTAGTCTATAGTCTAGTCTATAGTATAACCTTTGGTTAATGTTTAAGAATCTTTTAAACTTAACAAAATTCATTGTCACTGATTTATTGAAAATCATCCAAGGAGCTGGAAGATCTTTAAGTTTTATTTATTTAAATTATTTTCTATCACAAATTGTAATTTATTATTTCATTTAAATTATTTTATGCTAAAAATTTCCTAAATTAAACTATTTAGCCGAAAAAATAGCGGTAAACTGAGAGATGTCTAACAAAAGATCTTAAAAAGAAGCAAAACAAAAACAAACCCACAAAACCACAAGACAAGTTTAAACAAGTTTTAGTTTATTTTTATAAAAATTTAGCTAATTTATAAAATAAAAATAGTTCTCTATAAAAAAAAATAAAAATTCTTAACAAAAAATATTCACACCTAATCATGGGGGTAAGTCTTAGCGAAAAAAACGTAAATGTGTTTAAAATAAAACAACAAAACCAAAATGTGAAAATGAAAAATAAACACAGACACACCAAAGAAAAGAAAAAAACACAAGAAATAAAAATAAAATTTAATAAAAAATAGATAAAGCTATAAGTAATAAAATGAAATTATTTAAAGATAATTATGATTTATTTAAAAAAATTTAACTTACTTTCCAATAAACGCTGTATTAAACTGTCAACATTTAGATCAAAATCCGCCATGATGTTAATTACTTGTTGTTGTTTGATGTTTTGTTATTATTTGTTTTTAATATCTTTTGCTGTTGTTGTTTATTATTGTTTTCAAATAATTGACAAGTTAAAGATGTAGCTTTTTTTCTTTTAGTTTTGTCACTTATTAGAGTTGTAGTTGTTTTTGTTTTTTAAATTGAATGATAATTTTACTCACTTTTGCTACTCTCTTTTTATTATACTAATAAAGAAAATGCACTAATTTGTTTTTATTTTTTCTTAGATATTCCAATTGGAGTAAGCAACTCGATTATGTTGTTGGTTTTTTTTTTTTTTTTTGTAGTATTTTGTTTTAGTAATTAGAATTTAAAGAAAAAAACCTAAAGAAATAAGCTAAATACAATAAAAAAATAGAAAATGTGTTAAATTTCTATAAAAAACACGCACTAATTATAAAAATATACACACGCTATAGAAAAACTTAAAGTTGTTGTAGTAGTTGTTGTTATTATTGTTCTTGTTTATAATTTATTTGAAAATTTTCACAAAATGAAAAAAAGTTCTTTCTAAGCAGCGGCGCGCAACTACTGAGGTGATGACGAAAACTCGTAAAAATAAACTCAAAATAGAATACGTACAACAACAACAATGAAAAAACAGCAATAAATTTATGAAAAAACAGATATTCAATGATTCACTACACAAAACCAGAACAGAGCAGAAAAAAAAATTGTATGAAAACCCAATTAGAATTAAAACAAAATTAAGAAAAAAAACACCCGAAAAAAACGCTAAAATTCCTCTACACTTTTCTTTCTAAGGGCGTGTTTGTTTTTACTTTAAGTTTTTAAAGCTTTATTTTAATAAAAACACTAAATTTCTTTTTAAAAAATTAAAATTTCTTTTCTTTTATTTCCTCTGTATAAAGGTTTTTATCTTTTTTTTTTCTCCACAAAAAACTTTTCACCCAAAAATCTTTCTTAAATCATTATTTTTTCCCTTTTGACACTTCTTTTTTTTTCTAGTTTGCTTTTATTTTAATTCTTCTTTTATTTTTTTTTTTTGCTTTAATAACTTTTTTGGTTTTTTATAAAAGTTTTCTTTTTATAAATTTCTTACAGAAACTTCAATTTTCTTAAGATTTTTATTAGATATTTTTGTTTAAATTACTTTTTTTTTGTAATTTTTCTCTTTTTTTCTATTACCGTCCGTGTTTTTAGCCCTTTATATTCATTAACGTTTTACAACCAAACATGACCACCGCAAAATAAAACTGAATAAAATTTTAGCCTGTTTTTTTCTATTCTTCTATTTCTTCTTTTTATTTTAGTTCTTCAAGTTACCAGACGTTATTAAAAAGCTTTCTTAAATGTCAAAATATAAGCTGGCAACTCGTCCTCTTATGGCAATACTTTAGTGTGGCATTATATTACTTTATACAGCAGTAAACTTGGCAGCACTTTTAACAATGAAGTCATTTGAACCGTTATGTTAATTTATCTTTGTTTTTTCCCACCGATTTTACAGAAACAATATTAGATATTATTAACATATAAAAAAGAAATTAAAAAAATTAATGCTTTTAATGAAGGTATAGTTATAGAATTCACAAATGATACGCAAAAGTTCCCATATAAAATTAAAAATATTTGTTTAAGTTTCCTTTTTTCCTTTCGCTTTTCCAGGGTTTTTAGTTTTTGCTAATTTGCCCTCTTCCATCAATTTCATACATTCCTTATTAACCTCAAAAAGCAATTCCACTTCGTCCTTTATAAAATCCAATTGTTTTTCGATTTCGTGACGTTGAAAGACCGGGTCAATATCTATAATTATTAAAAAAAAGAATGAAAAAACTGGAACAGATTTTGAAAAGAACTATAACAGTACTATAAGAGAACAAGAACAGAACTACATACATCTAAAACAAAACTGGAACAAAACTAGAACTGAACTTAAACTGAACTAGAATAGAACAAGAACAGAACTAGAACAGAACTAGAACAGAACTAGAACAGAACTAGAACAGAACTAAAACAGAACTAGAACTGAACTAGAACAAAACTAGAACAGAACTAGAACAGAACTAGAACAGAACTAGAACAGAACTGGAACAGAACTAGAACAGAACTAGAACAGAACTAGAACAGAACTGGAACAGAACTAGAACAGAACTAGAACAGAACTAGAACAGAACTGGAACAGAACTAGAACAGAACTAGAACAGAACTAGAACAGAACTGGAACAGAACTAGAACAGAACTAGAACAGAACAAACTAGAACAGAACTAGAACAGAACTAGAACAGAACTAGAACAGAACTAGAACAGAACTAGAACAGAACTAGAACAGAACTAGAACAGAACTAGAACAGAACTAGAACAGAACTAGAACAGAACTAGAACAGAACTAGAACAGAACTAGAACTAGAACAGAACTAGAACAGATTAGAAACAGAACTAGAACATAACTAGAACAGAACTAGAACAGAACTAGAACAGAACTAAAACAGAACTAGAACTGAACTAGAACAAAACTAGAACAGAACTAGAACAGAACTAGAACAGAACTAAACAGAACTAGAACAGAACTAGAACAGAACTAGAACAGAACTAGAACAGAACTGGAACAGAACTAGAACAGAACTAGAACAGAACTAGAACAGAACTAGAACAGAACTAGAACAGAACTAGAACAGAACTAGAACAGAACTAGAATAGAACTAGAACAGAACTAGAACAGAACTAGAACAGAACTAGAACAGAACTAGAATAGAACTAGAACAGAACTAGAACAGAACTAGAACAGAACTAGAACAGAACTAGAACAGAACTATAAAAGAACTAGAACAGGACTATAACAGAACTAGAACAGAACTAGAACAGAACTAGAACAGAACTAGAACATAACTAGAACAGAACTAGAACAGAACTAGAACAGAACTAGAACAGAACTAGAACAGAACTAGAACAGAACTAGAACAGAACTAGAACAGAACTAGAAACAGAACTAGAACAGAACTAGAACAGAACTAGAACAGAACTAGAACAGAACTAGAACAGAACTAGAACAGAACTAGAACAGAACTAGAAACAGAACTAGAACAGAACTAGAACAGAACTAGAACAGAAACTAGAACAGAACTAGAACAGAACTAGAACAGAACTAGAACAGAACTAGACAGAACTAGAACAGAACTAGACAGAACTAGAACAGAACTATAAAAGAACTAGAACAGGACTAGAACAGAACAGAACTAGAACAGAACTAGAACAGAACTAGAACAGAACTAGAACAGAACTAGAACAGAACTAGAACAGAACTAGAACGAACTAGAGAACTAGAACAGAACTAGAACAGAACTAGAACAGAACTATAACAGAACTAGAACAGAACTAGAACAGAACTAGAACAGAACTAGAACAGAACTAGAACAGAACTAGAACAGAACTAGAACAGAACTAGAACAGAACTAGAACAGAACTAGAACAGAACTAGAACAGAACTAGAACAGAACTAGAACAGAACTAGAACAGAACTAGAACAGAACTAGAACAGAACTAGAACAGAACTAGAACAGAACTAGAACAGAACTAGAACAGAACTAGAACAGAACTAGAACAGAACTAGAACAGAACTAGAACAGAACTAGAACAGAACTAGAACAGACTAGAACAGAACTAGAACAGAATTGGAACAGAACTAGAACTAGAACAGAACTAGAACTGAACTAGAACAGAACTAGAACCGAACTAGAACAGAACTAGAACAGAACTAGAACTAGAACAGATCTAGAACAGAACTAGAACAGAACTAGAACAGAACTAGAACAGAACTAGAACTAGAACAGAACTAGAACAGAACTAGAACAGAACTAGAACAGAACTAGAACAGAACTAGAACAGAACTAGAACAGAACTAGAACAGAACTAGAACAGAACTAGAACAGAACTAGAACAGAACTAGAACAGAACTAGAACAGAACTAGAACAGAACTAGAACAGAACTAGAACAGAACTAGAACAGAACTAGAACAGAACTAGAACAGAACTAGAACAGAACTAGAACAGAACTAGAACAGAACTAGAACAGAACTAGAACAGAACTAGAACAGAACTAGAACAGAACTAGAACAGAACTAGAACAGAACTAGAACAGAACTAGAACAGAACTAGAACAGAACTAGAACAGAACTAGAACAGAAGTAGAACAGAACTAGAACCGAACTAGAACCGAACTAGAACAGAACTAGAACAAAACTAGAACAGAACTAGAACAGAACTAGAACAGAACTTGAACAGAACTAGAACTGAACTAGAATAGAACTACAATAGAACTACAATAGAACTAGAACAGAACTACAATAGAACTAGAAAAGAACTAGAACAGAACTACAGTAGAACTAGAAAAATTTACTCACTTCTCCTCTTACACAACAAACGATACATATAGTGCACCCCATCTAAAGATCGATCCTTATTTAAATCATGATTTGCCACCGTGTTCTTAGCATTGGCCATAATTTTCTCCCATTTTGAACATTCAGCACGCGCCTGATTATACGAACGCTCCAACTGAGCCAAATCGTTTTTCAAACCCAATACCGTTAGAGCGGCCTCATTGGTAACCTTAACCATACGTTTGCGCATTTCTTCAATTTCTTGGATCTTTTGCTGCTCCAAGCGGGAAATTTCCACTTGGGCCAGCACTGAAAACATAAAACAATTAGAAATTTGTGAGGGAAATATTTCGTTGCCACTAACGGACTCACTTAAAGCATCACAACGATCCATGCAATCTTTAACGGATACAAAGATATCAGACTTATCTACAACTTCCTGTAGAACTTTTTCATAAGGTTCAAATTCCTTGACAGTGGCCTTTAGAACTTCACGGAATTGGGCTACAGTATAAAAGAAAATATTTTGAAGTCTGATTTCTCTGTAAAAGGTTCCTTAACATACCTAACTCCTCGATACTATTCTTGTATTTCTTTATATCCTCCTTGACCACCTCATGCATGGCAGTTTCTTCAGCCACCTTTTTCTCGGCTATACGTTTTTTATCCACGCAATCTTTAATAAAACTATTAACCTCTATAAAACGTTTGCGTAAATCTCCATGAATTTTATATAATTTGCGTATACGACTGGCATTACTGGCCGTTTGCCTTTTAGCGTTTTCTAACATTTCCTCCTGCAGTCGCAACATGGCGGCATGTTCACGTTCATTGCGTATGAAAAGCAGTTCTACAGAATCTCCGGCCGAGTCCCAATTGGGCGGTTTGCTAGAGATTATTCGGGTTAAAAAATAATTTGAAAATTTTAATGGAAGAGAAAAACTTACACAAAAAAAGCATCTTGCTGTTTGGATTCTATATAATCCCCTACAGCCTTTTCGGGACTCAAGTCCAAATTACCAATAACATCAATTTTAGTTGTAGGCTTTAAACGAGGCATTTAAAATGATTTTAACAAAATATATATTTAATTATTTCTGCTAAGATAGCTTTTTTGATATAGAAAGGAAAATATAAGTCTGAATTTAAAAGTTTTATCGTTATTTCGTAAAATTGTTATGACAACTCAATGTAGGGTTCTATAGTTGAAACGAAAAGTCGACTTTTCGACTTTTTGCATTTAGTCAAAAGTCGACTTTTCGACCTTTCGACTTTTTCCATTTTATGAAAAGTCGATTTTTCGACCTTTTTCATTTATTTAAAAGTCGACTTTTCGACTTTTTCCGACTTTTCGACTTTTTCCGACTTTTTTCGACTTTTCGACTTTTTTCGACTTTTTTCAACTTTTCGATTTTTTACGACTTTTTGACTATTTTCGACTTTTTTTCGACTTTTTTCGACTATTTTTTACTTTTTTCGAGTTTTTTCCGACTATTTTAGAGTTTTTGACCTCTTTTCCACTTTTTTAAAATTTTCGACTATTTTCGACTTTTTCCGACTTTTCGACTTTTTCCGACTTTTCGACTTTTTTCGACTTTTCGACTTTTTTCGACTTTCTTCGACTTTTTTCGACTTATCGACTTTTTTCGACTTTTCGACTTTTTTCGACTTTCCGACTTTTCGACTTTTTTCGACTTTTATTTACAAAGTCGACTTTTCGACTTTTTTCATAGACGATAGTCGAGTTATCGACTTTTTTGGAACAAAATAGTCGACTTCGATTTTTCGACTTTTTTCGACAAAAAGTCGATTGTTCGATTATTCGAAAGTCGATTTATAGAACCCTAACTCAATGTAGAAAAAATATCATGTGGCAACTTTGCCAGTGTTGTCATGGTTTTAAATCAGTCATGGGCAAACACATACCACCATG